CACTATCTCGTTACTGAGTACTTGTCTTCATTAAAGAAACATAGATTTATCTGTCAGAGAGTCACCTGTGTTGACCGCTCTTTCGACACAACGACAGGAGTCTTAAAATCAAGGGTTGGCTTGTCAGACAATAGCTCGAACTTAATTTTCATTCAACGCCGTAATACGTCGTTGTAGATATTAGTCGTCCTGGTTAAAATTGTGCCGCTGTTCTTGTTCAATAACCGACAATTAAGCCAACAAGTCCGCTATAGTTACAGCCTCGCAATACACACGATTCCGTTGCTGGCTAAGCATCGAGTGACAATCTCGTCGTGCGCCGTCTGCCCGGAACTCGCCTTATTGCTCCGAGCTTAACCCATGATAGGCATTAACATAAGCGACTAAAGTATGTAGCATATCATGGATCACGATGCATCGCAGATAACACTGATGCAGATATGTGTCTGCACGTATTATCGGCCTCCTAGGCTCAGACAGATTGCAGGAGATAAGAGCCGCGCGTAGCCGCATTACATGAGATATGGTCTTCGAGCTCCAACGACTGTTCCTTATCAAGACATCGAATGAAAGATGTGTTCTTTTCTATCGCTACCTGCCCTGGGATGTATTAAGATTTTTTCTTGATGTATTTCGATTCCTTTGACAAAAAAGCTTAAACACCCACCCCAGCTTTTTTTTATGTAGGGGACTGCTTTCGTAAATGTTACTCGGTGTTGACAGCGTTCCCGATCAAAGTCGTTCAGAAGACTATTTAGTTTTATAACTGAAGCTTAACAAGCAAGGTCTTACCTAAGTTCACAGTGAACCGCAGCGTTTGAGAGTTGAAACTCGTCTTGATATGTATGGTGAGCTCATCAGTGAGCAATCAGAAGGCGAAAGGGTCCTGTTCCTGGTATTGTTCACTCATATACTTGGCTCGGTTTGGAACACAGCGTTAAGGCTACCTCATAACAGAATTCTATTTTTTTATCTCCGATTTGCACAATCTGTTCCCCTAACTTGCAATTTCCAATGGAGTGCTGGCCGCACACAGGCCTCCGTCGCGACAAAAAAGGCATCTGGCGAAAGGAGTATATGTTTTATGCGACTGACTTATTTTTTATTCCATGTATTAAGTATTTCTGTGTTCTCTTTTAGAATACCAGTATGCTAGCTTGGCGCAGGCAGGACAAGCACCCGGTTATCCGCAATTTCAGTACCCTACTGCTAGTGGAGACCAAAATGCACCCTTTCTACAAGGCTATGCTCTTGCACAACAAGGCGGTGCGCAGAATACAGTTCCTGCCGCCATGTTCGGTGGACAGTCTGTCGGTTCATTTAGTATGGACCAAAACCAAGTGGCATACTCGCAGGCAGCAGCCGGTGTTCCAGTCCCCCAAATGGGAGCTTCGCAAATGCCTATGAACGCCGCTATCGGCGCTGGATTTCCATATGGCGACTACTCACAGTTTAACCAGTATGGTTCTATTGCCCCTGGCGTCGGTGGCATGCCGCAGTCCCTTCAAGGTTTGCTGACATCTTTTACTGATAAGTTTGGTAGATATGCAGCAGTTTGGACAACTACTACCAAATGCATTTAACCAGACAGCTACACGGAACCTTTATGACGCTTTTGCGCAAGATCAGGGTCTCGCTGGTAAGAAGTCGATTTATAATCTACTGCCTTGCTTAAAGGATTCAATCCAGCCGCATTCTTGCAAGATCCCACCGGGAGCATGGGCCGAAACCTTGGGGGGTTTTCAGGCAAAGGCTTTGGCATGAAGTAAGTTTAGTTTGACGCTACCGCCAAGGCTCGTTTATCGTACGCGCTTCACCGTTTTCGAATTTTCCACATTTTCCAATTTTTCGACTAAAGAACAACTTTTTCCATTTGGGAGCGCCTATGTTTAACCTGCATCCCTTTGAACCATTTTCGCAACGCCCATCAAGAAGTTTCCCGTTT